GGTTAAAGAATTCCAGAAATAGATCAATAACCTTCTGGACAAGAATAGAGTATAGTTAATTAGTCCCTATATGTCACGGGCACTCTCGTGACCTTGAACCTTTTAGTGGCAACTCAAGTTGAGAATCCAATTGGAACTCCCATTGGAGGTGATTTATAATACAAATTTTATCAGTAGTTATACATGCTTGTTTTCTTTTTTTTTTTTAAATTCCGGATTTTTAATTCATAATTTCTACCACCTAACAGAGCTAACTATTAATAATAATTGTTTTAAGAACGTAAATCACTTTTCCCAAGTATATTTCAACTAGTAGTGACCTTGAGTGTACTAGACCAAGACCCACTTGGTATATATGCTTAAGGTACTAGTTTAATGTAGATTTCAATTATTTAGTTTATCCTTCCATTTTTTTTTTTAATTCTTTAAAATTTCGTACTTGGATTTTGATAGTCTTAACTCACTCATTTATGAGATTCATCTTGATTATTTAATTTTAGATGAACTCTTTTAACGTTTCATTGCTTTGTGGTTTCTTTAATGAGTCTATCATATGTATGGCGATTGAGAGAAACGCAAATCTGAATAAACACAAATCTATTGAACACAAACCCGTCAGCTTCATCATCATCGTTTAGCAAAGCATGGATAAAGTCGTGGTATGTCTTATAGAAACGTTCCATTTCACGTGCATCCCCCATCCGCTTTCCCATAGTTTTTTCGTCTTCTATTTGACGTTTTCCCTTAGTTATTTCATCATCCTGTACAAATTTAAATAAGTTGGCTCTCAACTAGACTCTAATCGTAATCTAATTTTCTACTAGCTTGCTTCAAATTTACACTTAGGAAAATTACATCGTACCAAGGTTTTTGATTGAAATAAAAAATTTACATTCATTAAAAAAAAGAAGAAGTTATTATGAAAAATAGATGAACGAAAACCAAACCTCTTAGCGTAATAATAATAGAATCCGTACCTTTCGTAACCGGTTAATAAGTGCAGTCTTGAAAAGGCGGACACCATGCCCACTTGAATTGGGATCAAGCTTGTGTGCCTTCTCCAACGCATGATAACGACCTGTAATATATTTATATATAGAAGTAACCACGTCCGCTTCTATGTCAAGATCATGAAAAAAATAAAGTTAACCAATATATACTTCTTTCAAACTCACATAGGTAAGCAACCCGGTAGTTAAAACCCTCTATTTTTTTGGCTAAACGAAGGATCGGGGCAATCTCCATAAGAGACGTTGGCACACGCTCACTATCTGAAATTTCTTCTCCATGACTATGACTACTCGTAGCTCGAGTAGATCCCACGGACCCAACCAATTCGGATCTATCTATTTGGTCAGGCATCGAATCTTCTAAATCCGCATACAGTCACACTGAGAAAACCACCATTATGAATATTATTATTCAAACTTTAGTTATAAGAACTTCTTAGACACCATAAGAGATCAGTGAAAAAAATAAGTGATGTTTTTTCTTTGTAATTGATCGGGCAAAAAATGAAACCTTAAGAAAACTGTATGAACTAAACACTCTACTTGTAAGAAAGTACGAGAACCCAAATTAAGGTGATCGACGTGGGCGAGAAGATGCAGAGATTAGTGATCACCTGGTGATGACAAAGGAAGAAAGAAAACGGATGAACCAAAAACTAGAACGAGGATAGGTTCTTCAAGAACAAGCAACACAAATCCTAGCAAGCGAGAGAGAATGATTAAAAATTCCTATCGCAGAAGAGAAAATCAGTGACCATTAAATAGTCGCCAACTTTTCCCCAAGTTGTATTTAAATAAGATCATTAGGTAAAGGAAAAGTACGCTTACGATGAATGATAAACTTTTTTAATCCCACCGATTGACAAATATTCCTTTCTCTTATTCTCTTTTCAGACTACTTTTGTAATTAATCTCGCCGAGCAAGACGTCTAAGAAAGTGGCTAGTGGTTGTATCGCACACGTCTACAAAAAATCTTTTAACAAACTTTTAAGGAAAAAGAGCCCAAATTTTTTATCTTTTAAATTTCTATTGAAAAGGCCGGTCCTAACATTTTCTTGCCTAGAATCCTATAAAAATTTGAGACTGAGACGACCCTTTCATTGAGTCACTCAGTAGAGGATCTGATTCGATTGTGATTTACTTGGAATATCAAGAACTAAAGCCGATCAAAAGCTTAAAGACACAAGATACATTGTTGACTGAGCTTCCCCGTCTTTGGAATCTCTCTCCAAGAATATCCACTATGAAAATCAAAGATACAATGTTCACACGCTATTTCCTCTTCTAAATAAAATATAAGCATGCAAGATGATCCATTGGCTATAAAAATATCATGTTTTAGCATTTTTTATTTCGCACATCATTCTCTTAATTTGGTTTAAAATCTTTAGTTATACTCCGCAGTCTACAATTTCCAAACAAAAAAGGTAAAAAAAAGTTACATAATTGCAGACCACAAAACAAAAAAATCAAAACCTTAATAGAATAGGTGAAATGCATAAAGCAGAAGGAACTCACGTGGTCTTCCTGGAAGATGCTTGATTCATACAAAACCTGCGGCGTGCCAAAGCTTCCGTGGATTTTATTTTATATTCTATCCGTTTAAAAATATAAATTGTTTTATAAGTTTTTTTATGTTTCAAAATATAAGTTGTTTTGATAATTTTAGCTATTTTTTAACCTTTTTAACTATTGTGTGACCAATAGTATTTTGCAGTCGCTTTTTTCCTTGGTTAAATTATTTTTATTATATATAAAAGATGATACTTTTTAGAAGAAAAGTAGTTTTTTATTATTCGCACTTTTAGCCAAAACAACTTACATTTTGAAACGGAAGGAGTATAATGAATTAGAATATGATCCGCGTTGATACACAGGTGAACATATTAAAATTATTAATATCAAAATTTAAGTTTTAATTGGTAACCCATTAAATTACAAAAATATTTTAAAATATTTAAACATGGAACTTAAACCATTAAAGTTTAATTTATATCATAATTCGTATGTTCTAATTCATATTATGCAGAACAAAAACAAAAAAAAAACATATATATATATATATAAATGGAAATTCAAATCATATTCTTAATAAGAAAAAATTATTCTACACATCATGAATTTATATTAAATATATGATAAAATATTATAACAATTAAAATATTATATAGTTAAATCATAAAACAATAAATTTATGTGAATAATCTCATAAAAACCTATAAAATATTTTATCAAACATTATCAATAAATTTATGATTGATAATGTCATTGATGTCATCAGTTTATTTTTAAAAGAGATCTATTCTCGTCAAATCTTACACTTTTAGATTGAAACAGTAAATATATTATTATTTTTATTTTTATTATTATTATTTTATAATAAATATACATTTTCATTTTATATAATTTCATTTTTAACATTGAAAAATATAGGTAGAAGATTTATATTTTCTTTGTAATATTTTATAGATTTTTTGTTTGCATATAAAATTTAACATTGAGATGTCCATA